CTTTACCACTTTCGGCCTCTTTACCTCCTTCAGTGACCCTAACAAGTGGAACCTCACCCCCAGGGTGACCTTCCCTCCCCAGCATATCGCTGCCCCTGTGGTTTGGACCCCTGACCTTTCCTCCCTAGAGATAACATCTAGGCCTCCATTGTGTTTCAGCTCCAAGACTGGAAAAGCAGCAAAACCGGACAAGCAGCACCACAGCTGACCTCAGGACCAGCCGCATTGGATAATCACCCCCTTGCTCTGGCACCAACCAATCAGTGGAGAGCCCGACCCTGCGAGGACACACCTGGAAAGCTGCGGAACATTCTATTGAGATCTTCCCCTGGGACCTCCCCTAGAATCTCCACCCTTAAGAGGACCCATCGCGCACCCCCTCCCCTTCCCCATCCCCGGGCACCTCATCTTTACCTTCCTCACTCCGAAGCTCCCAGGGCCCTTCCTTTGCCTCTGTAACTTGTTTCCTCAGCCCATTTCTTCTACGATTTACTTCTTCTGCCTCTGTGGTTCTCCAAATCCACGTTCTCTTATCCTTTGAGTCTTGGCTCTGAGTTCTTTCCCAGCCAGAACTCAAGCACTGAGTTGAGTTGCTGAACCCAGGTCTGGTCTGACCCCATCCCAGGCTCAGAGTCTCCATTGGTTGATTGACCGGCACCAGGGCAGGAGGTCATTATCCGGTGCAGCTGGTCCCCAGGGCAGCCGTGGCATCATCGCGGGTCTGGTTTTGCTGCTTTTCCGTGCCTGGAGCCGGCCACACCTGGTGCCCTTCCCACCACCGCCAACAATAGGGTTGCTGTGAGCAGCCTGCCCAATTGTCCCGGGATTCCCGGCATCTGGGAACGAGGACGTGGAAATTCCAGGGCTAAACCTGAGACGGTTCCAGGCGCCTGGGAATGAGTTGGTCACCCTGGTTGTAAGCATTTCCATTGTAAAGGTGCAGATAGGATCGTGATGGGTGACTCAGAAAACCAGTTTCCTCTTCCCCCACCCCATCAGACCCGCCCCGCAGGTGTCATTCTTGACCTGTGCTGTGCCCCTGGGGGACTCCTAAGGCCAGTCCCGAGTCCTCGTAGGTATAATGACTTCCCAGCACTGTTGTTTTTCTTTAGTCACGTGGCCAGGAGAAACAGCGGCAGCCCAGTCCTTGAACTGCTTTTGGCAGCGGCCGGCTGGGTCAGCTTTGTCTTTATCTCCCCACTTCCTCCCCTTCTCTCTCAAGGCTGCAGTTTTCTCCCCCGCGATCGGTTCTCCAGCCTGTAAAATTTCCGTGGTTCTCAGCCTTCTGGTCCTTTAAATACAGTTCCTCATGTGGTGACCCAGCCATAGAATTATTTTCATTGCTGCTTCATCACGGTCATGTTGCTACTGTGATGAATCGTCATGTAAATATCTGATCTGCAGGAGGGTCTGAGGCGACCCCCGTGAAAGGGTCGTTCGACCGCCAAAGGGGTCGCGACCCACGCTGCAAATGCATGTCCTCCCCTTGGTCACTCAGGACCAATGCTTCATTGGGCATCTTGTAGGTGCAGTTCCGACGTCTCCCTGCAGGGCTCCCCTGCCGCCTCCAGGTGGCGCTCGTTGAAAAGCTACCAGCATAACATCTGATTCATTCAACCTCGGTGTCTCTCTCTCCCCTTCCCTCTCCTCCCCCCCCCCCACGCCCCCACGCCCCCTCCCCTCCTCTCTCTCCAAACTGTTCCTGAACGTCTTCAGACCCATTAGCCACAATATTGTGTTTCCTTCCCCACAATACTGAATGTTTTTATTAAATCTATTGGGACACAATTTTTTTTAAAAAAAATATTTTTTATTGATTTCAGAGAGGAAGCGAGAGAGAGAAAGATAGAAACATCCATGATGAGAGAGAATCATTGATCGGCTGCCTCCTGCACGCCCCCTCCTGGGGATCAAGCCTGCAACCCAGGCCTGTGGCCTTGACCGGAATAGAACCAGGCACCTTTCTGTCTATAGACCAGTGCTCTATCCACTGAGCCAAACCGGCCAGGGCTTTTTTTTTAACTATTTTTCAATGTTTAAGAGACGTTGGCCTTCGGGAGGTAAGAGAGGAGCTTCGGTGCTTCCTATCTCGTGCAAAAATTCCAGCTGTGATTTCTGAGTTGAAATCCCTTTACTGGTCGTCAGGGGGCGAGGCTGACATTTGGCCCGAGGGGCTCCAACCCCTGACCCGGCTCTTCACTGGGGGGACTGCGGCTCTTCACTGGGGGGACTGCTGGTGCTGGGCTCTTCCCGCTTCTGCCACATTCTGTTCACACCCAGTGTGTTCCCTGAGGCGACAGACCTCCCCACCGCCCTCCTCCCTTCCTTCCCAGTCCTCCCAGCTTTGCTGGCTCATCCGTCTTCCCACCAACAGTCTCCTCAAGGCACCTGGGCTTTTTCCACCCTGCGCCTCAGAACTCCTGCAGCCCCCACCTGCGCCCCAATCCTAAAGCCACGTCCACATTTTTTGAAAATCCTCACCTGAGGATATGTTTCCTATTGATTTTTAGAGAGAATGGCAGCAAGGGAGCGGGACTGAGAGAGAGAGAGAGAGAGAGAGAAGCACGGATGTGAGAGGTACACATCCATGGGTTGCCTCCTGCACAGGGATCAAACCTGCAACCCAGGTATGTGTCCTTGACCAGGAATCGAACCCATGACCCTCTGGTTGCGGGCCGACACTCTAACCACTGAGCAACACCACCCAGGGTGTGTCCACATGCTTAGCCTCTTGGCAGCACCCCGTTTCGGGAACTACAATCTGTACTGGTCTAGAGCCACCATAACAGAATATGACAGACGGGGTGACTCAAACCACAGAAATGGATTGTCTCACGGTTCTGGGGGCTGGAAGTTCGAGCTCAAGGTGTCTGAGGGTTGGTCTGTTCTGCGGCCGCGAGGGAGGAGCCGTTCAGGCTCATGAATGCCACCTTCTCCCCGACTCGCCTCACCTCACCCTCGTCTGGACGTGTCTATGACCTCATCTCCTTGGCGTGCAGGGACACGAGGTACCTGGTGACCTCATTTTAATGTGATGACTTCTGTAAAAACCCCCATCTCCAAGAAAGGTCACATTCCATCCTGGCCGCGTAGCGCAGTTGGTTAGAGCTGTGGTCGGCAAACTGCGGCTCGCGAGCCACATGCGGCTTTTTGGCCCCTTGAGTGTGGCTCTTCCTAAGCCTTAGGAGGACCCTAATTAAGTTAATAACAATGTACCTACCTATATAGTTTCAGTTTAAAAAATTTGGCTCTCAAAAGAAATTTCAATCGTTGTACTGTTGATATTTGGCTCTGTTGACTAATGAGTTTGCCGACCACTGGTTAGAGCATCGTCCACAGACAAAGGTTGAGGGTTCAATCCCTGGTCAGGGCACACACAAGAATCAACCAATGCCCTGGCTGGTGTTGCTCAGTGGATAGAGCATCAGCCTGGGGACTGAAGGGTTCTGGGTTCGATTCTATTCAAGGGCACATGCCTGAGTTGCGGGCTCGGTCCCCAGGAGGGGGCACGCAGGAGGCAGCCGATCAATGATTCTCTCTCATCATTGATGATTCAATCTTTCTCTCCCTCTTCCTTCCTCTCTGAAATCAATAAAAATTAAAAAAATCAACCAATGTATGCATAAATAAGTGGAACAGCAAATCTCTCTCTTTCTCTTTCTCTCCCTTCCTCTCTCTAAAGTCAATAAATAAATAAAAATTTAAAAACAAACAGCCCAGCTGGTCTGGCTCAGTGGTTGAGCGTCGACCTATGAACCAGGAGGTCACGGTTCGATTCCCGGTCAGGGCACGTGCCCAGGTTTTGGGCTCGATCCCCAGTGTGGGGCGTGCAGGAGGCAGCCGATCCATGATTCTCTCTCATCATTGATGTTTCAATCTCTCTCTCCCTCTCCCTTCCTCTCTGAAATCAATACATATTTAAAAAACAAACAAATAAGGTCACATTCCGAGGTCCAGGGGGTGAGGACCCCAACACATACAACTTGAAAGGACACATTCCACCCCCAGCAGCGTTTGTGTTCTCGGTTTAGAATTTCCCATCACTCCCTGTGGGCCCATGGACAGGTGGCTTTGGGGCTGACAAGCAGCGTGTAGCGCAGTGATGGCGAACCTTTTGAGCTCGGCGTGTCAGCATTTTGGAAAACCCTAACTTAACTCTGGTGCCGTGTCACATATAGAAATTTTTTGATATTTGCAGCCATAGTCAAACAAAGATCTATATTTTTGATATTTATTTTATATATTTAAAGGCCATTGAACAAAGAAAAATCAACCAAGAAAATGAGTTCAGAGGTGACACGCGTGTCATAGGTTCGCCATCGCTGGTGTCGCGTGTTTCTGGGGGGCAGAAGCATGACTTCGCTCTGCCCCAGATGCGCCCATCCCACCACAAACGGACTCCCATTCAGAGCTGTTACAGTTCCAAACCTTTAATCCCAAATCAGACCACAGTGAGGTCAGACCCAGACATTCTCCGACCCTGCCCCCCGCCCCCCAGCAACTCCCCCCTACCCTACCCCATGTCTCCAAAGGTTGGATTAGTCAGAAGAAGGCTCTCCTACAAGTGGATGCATCCAGATCGCAGACATGAACAGGTCCCGCTCCCTCCCCACACCCCCTGACCTCATCTCCCACCCCTCCCGTCCCCAGTTACCCCATCAGGTCCCCACCAACTGCCCCTGGGGACCCTCGTTTGCAAAAAGCCTCTCCCCACCCCACCCCCAAGCGGCCCAGAATTCAGCCACCGAGGAACACATATGTACAGAGGAAAAGGCGAGGGCGCGAGAGACGGGTCTGTGCAAACAGCCTGGACCCCCGGAGCAAGGAGGACAGTGTCTCCGGGACATGGGGCAAAAGATGCTGAGGGGCCCTGGCCGGTGTGGCTCAGCGGATAGAGCATCAGCCCGAGGACCGCAGGGTCCGGGGTTCGATTCAGGTCGAGGGCATGTCCCCCGGTTGCAGGCTCCTCCCCGGCCCGGGGCCCTGGCCGGGGTGCATGCAGGAGGCAACCCACCGACGTGTGTCTCTCTCACATCGATGTTTCTCTCTGCCTCTCCCTCTCCCTTCCACTCTCTCTAGGGGTCAGTGGAGAAGTGTCCTCGGGTGAGGATTAACAACAACAATAAGATTCTGAGGGGACAGAGGACCAAGGAGGGGTTGCAAGGAGCTTCGGGAAAGCGCAGGGGGGCCTCTAGGGGGCCCTGGGCCCCTGCTTGGGACAGAGTGAGCCCCAGGGCCAGGGCGGCAGGGTGAGCAGGAGGAAGCAGCTGCCCCCCAGCAGCAGGACCAGGCTGGCCCCCACGGCGCAGCCCAGAGACCAGGAGTACTCGTAGGTCAGGGCCGGGGCCGGGGGCGGCTCGGGGCTGACCCTCTGAATCAGGGCTCGCACGGAATGCCGGAACACCTCCAGGCTGACCAGGAGCAGCAGGCCTGCGGGGAGAGGAGAGAGGAGGTGCTCAGGCACCGGGGAACCCCCAACTTCGGTCTCAATAGCTCCTCAATGCACCCCATCCCAGGCTCCTCAAACAAGAAACCTGAGAGACACACACACCCCAAGCACCTTCTCATTCATTCATTCATTCATTCATTCAACAACCACTGACTAAGCACCTATTACATAGCAGATGCAATTTTGGAAGCTGGAGAGAAAGAAGGAAGGGTAAGTGTGAGAGGCACAAAGTAGAGCAAGCGATGGGTGCCTTTGGCCGGGGAGGGGAGTGGGAGTCGGTTTTTAAGGGGACAGGGCTTCAGCTGGGGAAGATTGAAGGGTTCTGGGGTGACCCAGGCTGGGTGGCTCAATGGGCTACAGCGTCATCCTGATACACCGTTTTGGGTTCGATCCCCAGTCAGGGCACATACAAGAATCAACCAATGGCCCTAGCTGGTTGAGCACTGGATAGAGCGTCAGCCTGCGGACTGAAGGGTCCTGGGTTCGATTCCGGTCAAGGGCACACGCCTGAGTTGCAGGCTCAATCCCCTATAGAGGGCATGCAGGAGGCAGCTGACCACTGATTCTCTCTCATCATTGATGTTTCTCTCTCTCTCTCCCTCTCCTTCCCTCTCTGAAATCAATAAAAATATATTTTAAAAAAAGAATCAACCAATGAATGCATAAATACACGGAACAACAAATCTCAATCTCTCTCTCTCTTTCCTCATCAGTCACACCCCAGTAAAGTTGAAAAAAACAGCGATGGTCACCCTAGCTGGTTTGGCTCAGTGGCTAGAGCGTCAGCTTGCTGACCGAAGGGTCCAGGGTTCGATTCCAGTCAAGGGCACATACCTGGGTTGCAGGCTCCTCCCTGGCCCGGGGCCCTGGTTGGGGCTCGTGCAGGAGGCAACCAACCGATGTGTTTCTCTCCCATCCATGTTTCTCTCTGCCTTGCCCTCTCGCTCCCACTCTCTCTAAAAATCAGTGGGAAAATACCTAGGTTGAGGATAAAAAAAAAAAAAAAAAAGAAACAGTGATGGTGAAATGAAAAGAAAAGAAATGAAATGAAAATGAAAAGAAAGGCAGCCAAGTTGTAATGCAATTTGATTTTAAAAAGAAGTGGGGGGAGGGAGGGGCCTGACCGGTGTGGCTCAGTGGATAGAGCGTCAGCCTGCAGACTGAAGGGTCCCAGGTTCAACTCCGGTCAAGGGCATGTATCTTGGTTGCGGGCACATCCCCAGTAGGGGGCGTGCAGGAGGCAGCTGATCGATGTTTCTCTCTCATCAATGTTTCTGACTCTCTATCCTTCTCCCTTCCTCTCTGTGAAAAATCAATAAAATATATTTTTTTTAAAAAAGAAGTGGGGGTGAGGGGGGGGCGAGGAACAAGACAGACAAAGACCCTGACCTCATGGGGCTTAGATTCTATGGGAGGAGGCGGGTAGTAAACAACGCTTGCAGGAGACAGTGAGGAAGTCAGTACATAATGCAGCAGGCAGGTGTGATGGGCACAGTGACAGGGTGACCGAAACCCAGCTTCCGCCAAGGGCAGCCCTCCATCTACCAGCTGCCCCCTGCACGCTCCTGACAGCGGATCCGGCCTGCAACCCAGGCATGTGCCCTGATCAGGGATCGAACCACCAACCTCCCAGTGCACGGGCCAACAGCCACCCAACCGAGCCACGCCAGCCAGGGCGAGAGACAGAATGTTTAACTGATGATGGCTTTGATGGGAGTTCATCCGACCTTTAAATACCGGCCCAGAGAAATCTCTATGCACTGCCCGCCGGGCAGAGCATGTCGCGGGCCCTCCGTGGCCTGCCGGCGGCCGGGTTACAACCTCCAAAGTAAACACATGAGAAGACAAGATAATTTCAGACGGCGAGGCATGCTGAGAAGGAGTTAAAAACAGGGTGATGGGAAGGGGAGTGACACCCCGGGTGGAGCAGGGACTTTAAATAGTGTCGTCGGGAAAAGGCATTGCAGCTGAGACGGGAATGAAGAATGCCTGGAAGCCGGCCACTCACGGAATGAAGCGATGGCTATTCCGAGCAGGAGGGGTGGCTGGGGCGAAGGCCGTGGTGGGATGGAGTAGAGTGAGGAGTTTGAGGAAAAGAGAGAAGGTCAGTGTGACCAGAACAAAGAGAGTGGGGAGGAGGAGAGGGTGGGCAATGGGCGTGCCGAGGCGGGCAGGGGTCAGATCACTTAGGACCATCTTTTTTTTTTTTTTTTTTTAATATATTTGTATTGATTTCAGAGAGGAAGGGAGAGGGAGAGAGAGAGAGAAACATCAATGATGAGAGAGAATCACTGATTGGCTGCCTCCTGCACGCCCCCGGACTGGGGATCAAGCCCACAACCCGGGCATGTGCCCTTGACTGGAATCGAACCCAGGATCCTTCAGTCTGCAGGCTGATGCTCTATCCACTGAGCCAACCCGGCCAGGGCCACTTAGGACCATCAGATGGTCATCCATGGTCATGGGTCCCAGCCGCCTCCCCTCTCAGATCCTGGAGCCTGGCCCCAACCTCAGCCCCTGACCCACCTTCCTCTTTATCCTCTGCTTCTCCCAGTTTCCCCCATGTTTTCGGGTTTTTTTTTAAATATATTTTTACTGATTTCAGAGAGGAAGGGAGAGGGAGAGAGAGAGAGAAACATCAATGATGAGAGAGAATCATTGACCGGCTGCCTCCTGCACGCCCCCGGACTGGGGATCAAGCCCACAACCTGGGCATGTGCCCTTGACCGGAATCGAACCCGGGATCCTTCAGTCTGCAGGCCGATGCTCTATCCACTGAGCAACACCAGCCAGGGCTCCCCCATGGTTTTTAATCAGGGGCCTGGAGCATGCATCCTGGAGTCTATGCACCATGGTTCAGTGACCCCCTGAGATCTTCCCGGCCCCACGCAGCTCAGCATGAGGGCATTGAAGGTGGAAAAGCATCTGGACGAAGAGGAGACACAGTCCAGTCCCCTTCACGCCTCTGCAAGTTCCTGCATCTTTCATTCATTCGACACATCTTCACTGAGCTCTCGTTGTGAAATATATATACAGGGGACTAACAGAGGCTTCCACCCGGAAGGAGAGATGGACGCTAACCCGGTGAATGTATTGTGGTGGGCTGAGCCGCATCCTATATTGGGTGGGTGGGTTGGGGGGACCTTTAAAGAAATGAGTTAAAATGAGGTCATTCGAATGGGCTCCAATCCAGTGTGGCTGCTGCCTTCACAAGGAGAGAGTAGGACACAGACAGGCACAGAGGGATGACCACGTGAGGACACGGGGAGGAAAGGGCCATCTGCAGGCTGAGGAGAGAGAGGCCTCAGGAGAGCCCAGCCCTGCTGACCCCGGGAACCTGGACTTCCAGCCCCCAGGACGGAGAGAAATACATTCCTGTGGTCAAGCCACCGGTCCGTGGTGCGCTGCTGTGGCAGCCCTCACAAGCAAATGCCGAACTCGTGGCCTTTCTATCCACATTCGCAAACGCTTGCCCAGTGAGGACTACATTTCACAAGGTGCAGACCTCAAGGTCCGAATCTCTCTTCTTTAATTATTAAATTTATTGGGGTGACATCGGTTAATAGGATCATATAAGTTTCAGGTGTGGGTTTCTATGTTACCAGACCTGTATATTGCTCTGTGTGCCACCACCCAAAGTCAAATCATCTTTCCTCGCCATATATTAGGCCCCCTTCACAGCCCCACGCACAAGAGAGCTTGGAGACCCTCCAATTCCGAGCCAAAAACGGGGTTTAGAGCTCTCATTTCTGAGCCTACCACTAGCCCTTGTGCATCCCAGCATGCAACAGTGCTTGGAGTTCTCAGCCTCCCAGAATGCAACAGTGCTTGGGGACCCTGCCTCCCAGCGTTCAACAGTTCTTGGAGATCATACCTCCCATTGTGCAACCCAGCATGCAACTGTCCTTAGAGATCCCACCTCCCATCGTGCAACAGTGCTTGGAGATCCTAACCTGCCAGCATGCACAGTTCTTGAAGACCATACCTCCCAGCATGCAATGGGGCTTAGAGATCCCACCTCCCAGTATGCAGTGGGGTTTAGAGATCCCACCTCCCAGCATGCAATGGAGTTTAGAGATTCCCACCTCCCAGCATGTAATGGGGTTTAGAGATACCACCTCCCAGCAGGCAACAGTGCTTGGAGATCCTAACCTGCCAGCATGCACAGTTCTTGTAGACCATACCTCCCAGCATGCAATGGGGTTTAGAGATTCACACCTCCCAGCATGCAACGGGGTTTAGAGATCCCACCTCCCAGCATGCAACGGGGTTTAGAGATCCCACCTCCCAGCATGCAACAGGGTTTAGAGATCCCACCTCCCAGCAGGCAACGGGGGTTAGAGATCCCACCTCCCAGCATGCAACGGGGTTTAGAGATCCCACCTCCCAGCATGCAACAGGGTTTAGAGATCCCACCTCCCAGCAGGCAATGGGGTTTAGAGATCCCACCTCCCAGCAGGCAACGGGGTTTAGAGATCCCACCTCCCAGCATGCAACGGGGTTTAGAGATCACACCTCCCAGCAGGCAACGGGGTTTAGAGATCCCACCTCCCAGCATGCAACGGGGTTTAGAGATCCCACCTCCCAGCATGCAATGGGGGTTAGAGATCCCACCTCCCAGCAGGCAACGGGGTTAGAGATCCCACCTCCCAGCAGGCAACGGGGGTTAGAGATCCCACCTCCCAGCATGCAATGGGTTTAGAGATGCCACCTCCCAGCAGGCAACGGGGTTTAGAGATCCCACCTCCCAGCAGGCAACGGGGTTTAGAGAGCCCACCTCCCAGCATGCAACGGGGTTTAGAGATCCCACCTCCCAGCATGCAACGGTGTTTAGAGATCCCACCTCCCGGCAGGCAATGGGGTTTAGAGATCCCACCTCCCGGCAGGCAACGGGGTTTAGAGATCCCACCTCCCGGCAGGCAATGGGGTTTAGAGATCCCACCTCCCAGCATGCAATGGGTTTAGAGATGCCACCTCCCAGCAGGCAACGGGGTTTAGAGATCCCACCTCCCGGCAGGCAACAGTGCTTGGGGATCCCACCCCACAGCCTGCCATGTCCTCAGTCTCCAGGCTCGCGCGGCCCTCACCTGAGAGGCCAAAGCAGATGGCGCCCACGCGGACCAGGAACTCTGCGCCTTTGCTGAGCACCATGATGATGCAGAGGCACCCCAGGGCCATGACCGTCAAGCCGAGAACCGCTATCACCGCGGCCGCCAGGTTCATCTCTGTGCAGGGGGAGGGGAAGAAGGGAAGAACATGGGGTGCAGGGAGTGGGCGAGCCCCCCCACAGGGAGCCAGAGCCAGGGAAGGGGGAGATTCGGGGCCAGAGGAGCATGCCCCAGTAGAAGCCCATCCAATGGCTGACGTATACTGTTGCGGGATCTAAGACCCAGGCAGGACCTCAAGCCACACAGCAGAGAGGGGACAGAGCCCGAACGTGAAGGAATGGAACGACCAGTGATTACTTGGGGTCTGGTCGCCGCCTGTTTACAGGTGAGGAGGCTGAGGCAGTGGGCGCGTGGGTGACCATGGAGGGGTATGTGACAGTGGCCACTTCCTGGATGGAAGGTGCTGGTGAAGTCACGGAACCTCTCAGCCTCAATTTTCTCCTCTAGAAAAGCAGGATCCAATTCCTTATTGGGCCCGGCCTGCGTAGCTCAGTGGTTGAGCGTCGATCTATGAACCAGGAGGTCACGGTTCAATTCCCGGTCAGGGCACATGCCCAAGCTGGGGGCTCCATCCCCAGTGGGGGGCGTGCAGGAGGCAGCCAACCAGTGATTCTCTCTCATCACTGATCTCTCTCTCTCCCCCTTCCTCTCTGAAATATAATAAAAATATATTTTAAAAAAACAAAAACAGCCCTAGCCAGTTTGGCTCAGTGGATAGAGCATTGGCCTGCAGACCAAAGGGTCCCGGGTTTGATTCTGATTAAGGGCACATGCCTGGGTTGCAGGCTTGATCCCCAGTGGGGGGCGTGCAAGAGGCAGCCAATCTATGATTCTCTCTCATCATTGATGTTCTAACTCCTCTCCCTCCCTCTCTGACATCAATAAAAATACATATTTTTAAAAGACAGAAAAAATATCCTGGGGTGAGGATTAACAACAACAACGTGAATTTCCCAATCACACCTGCCACCCTCAGGTGCTCAGCAGCCGCCAGGGGCCGGAGGCTGCCGCACTGGGCAGCCCAGACACAGGACACTTCCATTCGCACAGAATATTCTGGGGGAGAAGCTGCCGTAGAGCTTGAATCCTGCCTCTGCCTCTCGGCTTCCGGGGAAAATAAATTTAACCACTCACGCACATCCGTTTCCTCAGCTGGGAGACAGAGATAAAGCCCCCGCCTGCCAAGCAGGCCAGGATGGAGCGCCTATAAATGGACCGCCCAGCACCATGTCTAGCACATGGTAGATGCACATTTGTAAGATGTTAAAGTACCACGCACAGCCCTAGCCGGTGTGGCTCAGTGGATAGAGTGTCGGCCTGTGGACTGAAGGGTCCCGGGTTCGATCCCGGTCAAGGGCACATGCCAGGGTTGCGGGCTCGATCCCCAGTCGGGGGCGTGCAGGAGGCAGCCGATCCATGATTCTCATCATTGATGTTTCTCTCTCTCTCTCCCTCTCCCTTCCTCTCTGAAATCAATAAAAATATATTGGGGGGGGCGCTGACCAGTTTGGCTCAGTGGATAGAGCGTCGGCCTGTGGACTGAAGAGTCCCAGGTTCGATTCCGGTCAAGGGCATGTACCTTGGTTGTGGGCACACTCCCGGTAGGGGGTGCGCAGGAGGCAGCTGATCAATGTTTCTAACTCTCTATCCCTCTCCCTTCCTCTCTGTAAAAAATCAATAAAAATATATTTTTTTAAAAAATTAAAAAATATATATTGGGGTGAAAAATAAAGTACCATGCACAGAGAGGGAATGTGACTTGCCTAAAGTTGCACAGCATGTGGCAAAGGCAGAGCCGGGGTAGGAGAGTCGGGCACAGGGCCCTGCGGAACCATGACCCTCCTGCCGCCACTCCCCCCAAAGTGGGACCTCCCTGGGACATAGGAGCTGAACCCCAGCCTGCTGAGAACCCCCCCAACACGGCCAGCATATCCCCACCCCCCACCCCCACCGCGGGGTGACGGGCTCTCACCTTTCTTTGTGGTTCTCTGGAAGATGTGTGCGTTCTCCCCCGTGGTGAAGAATTTAAAGTAGGTGCAGTTGGTTTCTGTGGGAGCAAGGCAGAGAGAGAAATAAGGGAGGTGATGCCGGGCGGGGGGGGTCCCTAGTGTAAGTTCAGGACTGGATAGTAAACCTAGCTCCCAGTAGCCTGAGAATATGACCTGAACATCCCCGATAAAAATATGACAGAAGAGCCCTAGCCGGTGTGGCTCAGTGGATAGAGCGTCGACCTGCGGACTGAAGGGTCCCGGGTTCGATTCCGGTCAAGGGCACATGCCCGGGTTGTGGGCTCCATCCCCAGTAGGGGGCGTGCACGAGGCAGCCGATCAATGATTCTCATCACTGATGTTTCTATCTCCCTCTCCCTTTCCTTTCCTCTCTGAAATGAATAAAAATATATATTTAAAAAAATATGACAGAAGAGAAAAATGATGCTCAGCAAAAGCCACCTGTTGTCACAGCTTATCCGGAGCTGGGATTCCAATGAGGAGCTTTTTAAGAATTGATGAGAGAAAGAGGGAGAGGGAGAGAGAGAAACATCGATATGTTGTTCCACTTATTTATGCGTTCATTGGTTGATTCTTGTATGTGTCCTGACTGGGGATCGAACCCACACCCTTGGTGTATTGGGACAATGCTCTAACCAACTGAGCCACCCGGCCAGCATAGCTTTTTTTATTTTTTTATTGATTTTTTATTACAGAGAGGAAGAGAGAGGGAGAGAGAGTTAGAAACATCGATGAGAGAGAAACATTGATCAGCTGCCTCCTGCACACTCCCTGCTGGGGATGTGCCCCCAACCAAGGTACATGCCCTTGACCGGAATCGAACCCGGGACCCTTGAGTCCGAAGGCCGATGCTCTATCCACTGAGCCACACCGGTTAGGGCTCGGCCAGCATAGCTTTTATGTGTATGGGAAACCAGCACAGTGCGTGACTGGCTCTACTGCGGTGTTCGAACGTATGCTCTCTTCGAGGTGTGCCTGTGCCAGTCTTTCTGGAAGGCAGACTCTGACAGACTTTATGGAATGAAGGACAGTTATGCCCTATCACCACCTGTTTTACTTCTGGGGATACAAAACCAGACAAAAGTCAATAAAATATATTTTTTTAGCCCTAGCTGGTGTGGCTCAGTGGCTAGAGCGTTCGCCTGCGGACTCAAGGGTCCCAGGTTTGATTCCAGTCAAGGGCATGTACCTTGGTTGCGGGCACATCCCCAGTAGGAGGTGTGCAGGAGGCGGCTGATCGATGTTTCTTTCTCATCGATGTTTCTAACTCTCTATCCCTATCCCTTCCTCTCTGTAAAAAATCAATAAAATATATAAAAAATATGTTTTCTTTAAAAAAAAGAAGAAAAAGGAAAGCAACCTACAGAGATCTGAGAAATAAAAATAAAAACAGGACCCTGGCTAGCTAGCTCAGTTGGTCAGAGCATCGTCCTGATTCACCAAGGTTGCAGGTTTGATTCTAGGTCAAGGGACACACACGAATCAACCAATGAATGCACCAATATGTGGAACAACCAATCTCTCTTTCCTCTCTCTCTCTCTCTCTCAAAATCAATCAATATATTTTTTTTAAGAAAACACATTAAGAGCTGAGTCAGGAAGGAATGAAATAAAAGAATAATAATGTTAAGTAGAGCACAAGAAGGCTCTTGCAAAGGCTGATAATGGCTTCGTGACAAACCCCGGATCGCATGAGTCATCCAACTCTGCGGACTGGAGGCCCCAAACCCTCAACTTCAAAAGCAAACAAAAACCCGCTTTCCGAGCCACGCTTTAAAGCCAGAACTTCCTGCAGAATTCACTACTCCAGCTTCCTTAGTCTACAGGCGGGGACACTGAGGCACGGGAAGGGAGGGGAGAGGTAGAGACTAGGGGATGGGGAGGAGGGATCAGGAGAGGGGCCTGGCAGACGGGGGAAATGGGAAGAAGGAACTTTCCAGACCGAAGGGGGGTGTGGAGGTGATACAAGCAGGAGGTGCTTACGTAGCACCGGGCTCTGTTCTAGGTTCTCCACATGCACTAACTCCTTAGTCCACAGAGCAACCCCGGGAGTAGTTATCATCGCCCCCATTCTACAGGAGAGAAAAGCGAGGAGGAGAGGTAAACTGAGTCAGGTGAGGTGGGGCGCTCCACCTGGTGGCCTGAGGGAAGGAGGGGGCGTGAGATGTCCATTTAGACGAGTGATGGCGAACCTTTTGAGCTTGCGTGTCAGCATTTTGAAAAACCCTAACTTCACTCTGGTGCCATGTCACATATAGAAATTTTTTTATATTTGCAACCATAGTAAAACAAAGACTTATATTTTTTATATTTATTTCATATATTTAAATGCCATTTAACAAAGAAAAATCAACCAAAAAAATGAGTTCGCGTGTCATAGGTTCGCCATCACTGATTTAGACCCTATTGTCGCAGTCAATGAGGGGACTGGCCCACACCCATGAGGGGACTGGGCCGTCCCATCTAGCCGGTGTGGTACCTTGTTCCAGGACAGTGTGAGGTGTCTGGCATCCCATTCACTAACAATGTAGGACAGCGGCTCTCAACCTGTGGGTCGCGACCCCTTTGGGGGCTGAACGACCCTTTCACAGGGGTCGCCTAAGACCATCGGAAAACACATCTATAATTCCATATTGTTTTTGTGATTCATCACTATGCTTTCATTATGTTCAATTTGTAACAATGAAAATACATCCTGGATATCAGATATTTACATGACGATTCATAACAGTAGCAACATGACAGTTATGAAGTAGCAAGGAAAATAATTTTATGGTTGGGGGTCCCCACAACATGAGGAACTGTATTAAAGGCTCACGGCATTAGGAAGGTTGAGAACCGCTGCTCTAGGACATCTTGTCTCTGACCCCAAAGGATATGGCACATCCCATTTGGAAAATAAAATCAATAAATTTTTTTTAAAAATTGTTTTGGAGAAAGAGAGCTGTGCCCGGCCGGTGTGGCTCAGTGGTTGAGTCAGGAAGTCCCGGTTAGATTCCTGGCCAGGGCACAGGCCGGGGTTGCAGGCTCGATCCCCAGTAGGGGGTCTGCAGGAGGCAGCCGATCAATGATGCTCTCTCATCATTGATGTTTCTCTCTCTGTCCCTCTCCCTTCCTCAGTGGATAGAGCATTGGCCTGCGGACTGTACCCCCATGTACCTCCATTTTATAATAAAATATGTATATGTATTTTTGAAAGATAAGCATTGCTATAAAAATCAACACAGAGGAACCCCATGATATGCAGTAGCGGGGGAGGACATCTCCTCAGGGCAGTGAAGGTAACATTTCCTAGGAAGCGGCGGGGTGGGGGGGGGGGCGTCTGGGGGGCAGGGAGATGTGAGGTGAGAGTTTCATTTGGTGGAATCAATAGGTGGGAACAGGCAAGATGCTACTTGGGTCAAGGCTGTCCGCCTCCCAGGGCCCGCGGGGTGGGGGTGCAGCTGCCTGGGAGTGGGACGAGCAAGCTGACACCAGGAACCCAGTCTCTCTCAGGGCACAGGCTGTGTGTGGGCACGTGCACAGGGCACAGGCTGTCCCCGGGTGTGGGTGTTTCTGGGGAACGCAGGCTGCTGAGGGCGCCAGCTGTGTGCGGAGTCACAGGCTGGGTGTCGGGCCCAGGCCATGTGTGGAGGCACAGGTTCCCGAGGCTCCCTGGGGGGGGACAGGTGTCTGGGATCACGGTCTGTACCGGGCGGGGCTTTGGAAGTCACAGCATGTTCTGGGGCACGGGGGGGGGGAACTGGGGGTACAGGCTGGTCTGGGGGTACAGGCTGGTCTGAAGGAACAGGTGGGTCTGGGGGTACAGGCTGATCTGGGGTACAGGCTGGTCTGGGGGTACAGGCTGGCCTAGGGGTGGGGTACAGACTGGTCTAGGGGTACAGGCTGGTCTGGGGGTACAGGGTGGCCTGAAGGAACAGGTGGGTCTAGGGGTACAGACTGGTCTGGGGTACAGGCTGGTCTAGGGGTACAGACTGGTCTAGGGGTACAGACTGGTCTGGAGGTACATGGTGGTCTAGGGGTACAGACTGGTCTGGAGGTACATGGTGGTCTAGGGGTACAGGCTGGTCTAGGGGTACAGGCTGGTCTGGAGGTACATGGTGGTCTAGGGGTACAGGATGGTCTGGGGGTACAGGCTGGTCTTGGGGTTCAGGCTGGCCTGAGGGAACAGGTGGGTCTAGGGGTACAGGTGGTCTAGGCCTAGACTCTAGGGGAACAGGATGATTTAGGGCTACAGGCTGGCCTGGGGCACAAGCTAGTCTAGGGGTGCAGGCTGTTATGGGGGTACAGGCTGGCCTGGGGCACAAGCTACCTGGGGTACAGACTTTCTCTCTCTACAAGGTTTGCGCGCGGAGCAAAGGCCCTTGGGGAGCGCGGGGTGGTGCAGGCTCCCTCCCCGGGGCTCAGCTCTCTCTGGGGCACCGTTTCCTCCCGCCCCCTCCCTCCCGCCGTCTGGGGGGCCCCCTCCCCCGCGCCCTGGGCGCCTCACCTCCGGGCAGCTGGGCGGGGCCGCAGGTCCGCCGGCCGGCGGGCACGTCCTCCTGCCACAGGCGCTTGACGCACACCTTCCAGAGCCCCAGGTAGGCGGCGTCGCACACGGCGCTGTCGTTGGCCTTGACGGTGTTGAGCTCCACCCAGAACTCGGTGCCCACGGCCAGCACGGCCAGCGTGGCGCCCACGGCCGTGAGCAGCAACACCAGCTTGACCTTGCCCTCGCGCTCCGGCGACAGCCCCGGCGGCTGCCCCGCGCCCCGCCTGGCGGCCGCGCCCCGCCGCCGGTCCTCCTCTTGCATCAGGAAGTTGGACCACATCATCATCCCGGCGGCGGGCCGGGCCGGGCCGGGCTCGCGGGGAAGGGCTGGGCCGGGCGGGCTGGGCCGGGGCTGGGGCGGGGCTGGGGCTGGGGCTCGGGGTGGGGGTGGAGGTTGGGGGGAGCCCTGGGGTCTCGCAGGCGCTGGGGGGGCTGTTACCACGGGACGATAAAACAAGGAATCGCTGAGTCTCCCCGGAACCTCACATGGGGGTGCCTTTGCGTCTCAGAAGAGAGAAAAACAAGACACCCCCCCACCCCACCCCCTACACACACACACCCTGGGGAGCCCTCCGGGAGCAGGGAAGGGCCTGCGTTGCCACAGAAACTCAGCAGAGACGTGGACCCGGAGCAAAATCGAGGCGCCCAGGAGGGGGCCCGGGGGCTCCGGGGGCAGGAGGACTCCGAGGGGCTGCTCCGCGCGCCCCCTCCCTCGGCTCAGATTTCGGGGTGCGCAGGAGAGGACGCTGAGCTCTCCGTGCGCATGCAAGGAGGCGCCTCTTGGCTTCTTTTCGGCTCGGAGTCTGGGGAGGGAGGAGTCGGGTCGCCTCTGGAGGGTTTAGGGGGGCAGGTCAGCCCCGATTCTGCGTCTCGGGGAGGCCGTGGGACCCCCCCAACATTCACACAAGGGGGATCCACAGAGTCCTGGCTGGGGTTCAGAAAAGAGGGGGGGACCTGCTGGAATCAGAGGACAGACTCCATCCGAGGTCTGCACGGGGGCGGAGGGCTCCCCAAGGGGCTCAGAGTGGGGGGGGCCTGGGGTCCCCACGGGGGGGGCTCAGATCGAGGGGTGGCGCCCCGCGCTGCAGCTCAGCAAACGGGGACAGACGCTCCCCGCGGTGGAAGGAAGGACAGCGGGGCCCGGAAGGCACTCGGCGTCCCCTCCGGCTCGCCGGGCTCCCCTCCCCCGGGCTCCCAGGGCCTGCCGGGCCGGGAAGGCGCCAGGCTCCGCTCCAGGCCGGGCGCCTCCCGCAGGCCGCCCTCCCCCGGCTCCCGGGCAGGGACCCCGCTCGCCCTCCTGCCTGGGCGCCGCCCCAGCTCCGCGATCCTCCGCACCGCGCGCTCCGCACCGCCGCCCGCCCGGCCGCCGCACCCGCGCCGCTCGCCGCGGCCTCGCCCCCGGCCGCCCACCCCCACCCTCCCCGGCTATTTCGGGCTCGACCCGTAAATAACACCCGCACCTGTCGCCGGGCGCCTGTTGCCATAGGGATCCCGGGTATTTTAAGAAGACCGGGGGCGGGGAGGGGCGGGGGCAGGGTCCTGACCCGGCTGGAGCGCGAGGGGACATCCATTCCCTTAAGGGTCGAGCGCGCGGGAGCCCAGGGTCCGGTCTCCGGGGGCGGGAGAGGGAGCAGGGCAGGGAGCCGGGATTTTCGATTTGTGGTCTGAACGGGCGCAGCTGGGAACCTGAACAGCTGGATCCCAGGGAGGAGGGGCTGGGGGCCTGGACTCCTGGGTCTGAGGGAGGAGGGGCTGGGGGCCTGGACCCCTGGGTCTGAGGGAGGAGGGGCTGGGGGCCTGGGCTCCTGGGTCTGAGGGAGGAGGGGCTGGGGGCCTGGGCTCCTGGGTCTGAGGGAGGAGGGGCTGGGGGCCTGGACTCCTGGGTCTGAGGGAGGAGGGGCTGGGGGCCTGGACTCCTGGGTCTGAGGGAGGAGGGGCTGGGGGCCTGGGCTCCTGGGTCTGAGGGAGGAGGGGCTGGGGGCCTGGGCTCCTGGGTCTGAGGGAGGAGGGGCTGGGGGCCTGGGCTCCTGGGTCTGAGGGAGGAGGGGCTGGGGGTTTGGGCTCCTGGGTCTGAGGGAGGAGGGGCTGGGGGTTTGGGCTCCTGGGTCTGAGGGAGGAGGGGCTGGGGGCCTGGGCTCCTGGGTCTGAGGGAGGAGGGGCTGGGGGCCTGGGCTCCTGGGTCTGAGGGAGGAGGGGCTGGGGGCCTGGGCTCCTGGGTCTGAGGGAGGAGGGGCTGGGGGCCTGGGCTCCTGGGTCTGAGGGAGGAGGGGCTGGGGGCCTGGGCTCCTGGGTCTGAGGGAGGAGGGGCTGGGGGCCTGGGCTTCTGGGTCTGAGGGAGGAGGGGCTGGAAGCTGACTTCTGGGTCTGAGGGAAGAGGGGCTGGGGGCCTGGGCTTCTGGGTCTTGAAGGCGGAAGGACAGAGGCCCATGATGGGGTCCTCAGCTCCCTTGGCGGTAGAAAGGTCAGGTGGGGGGGGGGGCAGGAGAGGGGGGAGCTGGTTGCTGGGAGCACAGAATCACAGCCGCAGTCCTCTTCATGGAGTTTATTAGACGGGCACCCCAGGACTTTCCATGCAGTTTACTCCCCAGGGGCAGGGGCAGGGCAGCCCGTGGAATGGCCGCGGGGCCTGGGCTTCACCCTTTCACCCCCGCCCTCAGGGACCCACCTTCACCGGCAGCTCTGCCCACAGCAGCAGGTGGCCCGGGCCTTCTCCATACACCTGCTCTGGATGCCACGGGCGTCCTGTATGGCTTCCACGGGAGCACAGATCGCCTGGGGTGTGACCCTGGGCGTCTGCGGGCTCCCCCAGCCTGTGGCAGGGCCTGGGTGCATGGAGAACTCACCTCCTGGCCCTCAGCACAGCCCAGCCCAGGACCACACAGGAGGCCTTAGCAATGGTGCATTAGGCCACGTGAATGAATGAATGAATGAGCAAGTGGATGAATGAACGAAGTGAGATGGGGACACACAGACATCCCAGACATCCCCTCCCAGGCCTGGGAAAGTGCCCCCGTCAGAGCACAGCCCCCTCTGCTCTGAGATGCAGGCCGGGGTGGGGGTCCCCGGAGGCCTCAGGACATTGCTTAGATGAATGAGTGAAAGCTGTTTCTTCCCTCCGGTCACGGGGCCTTCTGAGGCCTCCACGGGTGTGCTTGGTGCTGGCAGCAGCCGGGATGGTGCAGGGCAGGGCAGGGCAGCCCTGGGGTAGTTCATCTGCCCCCTGAGTCCATGTCCCCTCCGGCCCTGGGCCTCCCCACCTGTCTCATCCATCTGCTGCAACAGCTGCCTCATTTCGGGGTGCACGCTGTCCCTCATCTCCCTGTCTCTCCTTTCACAGAAAGGGCACCCACTTTCTTTGGTATAGAAGTCCTGATCACCTTCACACCTGGTCTCCTTGCCTCCTTCCTCCCTCCCTCCCTCCCTTGCTCTCTTGCAGCGGTTCTCAACCTTCCTAACGCCAGGACCCTTTAATACAGTTCCTCATGTTGTGGTGACCCCCAATTTCATTGTTACAAATTGAACATAATGAAAGCATAGTGATTCATCACAAAAACAGTATGGAATTATAGATGTGTTTTCCGATGGTCTTAGGCGACCCCTGTGAAAGGGTCGTTCGACCCCCCAAAGGGGTCGCGACCCACAGGTTGAGAACCGCTGCCTTGTGTGGCAATGACCTCTTATTAGACCAAACGGTTGCTTTGGGGGGGTTTCCCTTGTTCTCGGTAGCTTGGCGGGGTTCCTCCTGGTCTCTGCCTACTTCGTGGTCCCCCCTCTCCCCGCTTCTGACCCGGACGTGGATGCCCCACCCCCACCCCAGCTCTGGCCACATTCACCTCCTTCGTCACCTAATCCAGCCTCATGACCTGCAGTGTCCCCTCGATGCTGACCTCTCCAAAATTTGTATTTCTAGCCACGTCCTGCCCCCCAGCTCCCGTCTCACATTTCCCACCGGTGACCCGATAGGCCGACTTGGGTTTCTCACAGGCATCTCCACCCCACTCCTGACTCCCACCCCTGGGCCCCCTGGTGTGCGCCCGGGGAAGGGTTCCGTCTCCCCTCACTGGCCTCTCACCCTCTCTGCAGCACCCAGTTCATTTACTATCGGTTCTGCCTCCAGAATCCCATGTCTCTCCATCCTCTCCGACCCCACAGGGGTCCCGGCCCCCGGCAGCCTCCGCTGGACAAGGACAGCCGCCCCCTGGGGCCTCACGGCCCCTTTCACGCCTGCATCCACTCTCAGCATGACAGCGTGGTTCTCTTCTTTTGTTGTTGTTTGGTTTGTGTTTTAATGTTGTTGGGGTTTTTTTTAATTGATTTCAGAGAGGAAAAGATAGAAACATTAATGATGAGAGAGAATCATGGATCGGCCGCCTCCGGCACGCCCCACACTGGGGATCGAGCCTGCAACCCGGGCGTGTGTCCTGCCTGGGAATCGAACCGTGACCTCCTGGTTCATAGGTTGACACTCAAACCATTGAGCCACACGGGCCGGGCTGTCATTTTTGATTATTATTATTATTTTTTAAATATAATCATGTTGTGCCTGTGCTCAGCCCGTGGAGTCCAGACATCAGGTTCGTCCCCGGGGCTAAAAGGCCCCACGGGAAGGGCTCCCAGCCTGTTCTGACCTCACCCTCCTTAACCTGCCCACCTCCTCAGAGCATCCCGGCCATCCTGGAGTCCTCCGGGGTTTTGTGCCGCCTTTGTCCCTGTCCCTCTCCTTCTCCCAACCCCAGTCTCTGTTCCAAGGGGACCTCTGCAGGGAGTTCTCCTCGAGGGCCTGCCCCGCCATCGACACCACGTCCTACTTGGCTTTTCAAGCAGTTCCCTGTGACTGACATTCCCATGTGCCCCTCCTGTGAGTCCCAGGAGAGCAGGGCCTTGACAGACCGCCCAGCGAGTGCCGTGGGCCTCGACCGAGTCTAGAACAGGACAGGGCTCGGCGAATACTTCCTGAACACGGGGAACGCGCCAGCCGAAGAAATGGCTCGTTCCTTGAAGTCCACGGTGGGGTGCGCCTGCCTCTGAGTCTCCACATTTCCTCCGGGCAGATCTCAGGGTCTTTCTCTGTGACGCCACCGCTCTCTCTCTCTCTCTCTCTCCTCTCTCTCTCTCTCTCTCTCTCTCTCTCTCTCTCTTGGTGTCTCTGAGCCATCTCACTTGTGATTTGTGCATTTTTTAAAATTTTTACATTTTTTTTATTGATTTCAGAGAGGAAGGGAGAGGGGGAGAGAGAGATAGAAACATCAACGATGAGAATCATCGATCGGCTGCCTCCTGCACGCCCCACACTGGGGATCGAGCCTGCAACCCGGGCCTGTGCCCTGACCGGGAATCGAACCCTGACCTCCTGGTTCATAGGTCGATGCGCAACCACTGAGCCACGCCGGCCAGGCTGATTTGTGCATCTCTGTGTCCGTCTCTCCTCCCCCTTTCTCTGCCCTTGATGGATCTCTTTCCTTTTTCTCTGTGTCTCGGTGACTCACGGAGTTTGGGTCTCTCGTCCTCATCCTTCCTCCCCCCATCGCCCCCCTCCCTACCCATCCCCCACCTCATTCTTGCTCTCTGGCCTTTGGACCCTAGAGTCCACTACCCGCAACCAGTTCTGCCCCCTCCTGCACCAGAGCCCCCTCTCCCACCAAACTCGTCTCAAAACCCACCTCCCCCTGTCCCTCTTGGGCCGGTCCCTTTACAGTCCAGGGTGGGGAGCCTTTTTCCTGCCAAGGGCCATTTGGATATTTATAACATCATCCACTTAATCTAATTCACTTAATACATTTATGTTGCTATGGACAAAGCTCTTAGATTTATTGAATTTCAAACCCCGCCTGTGGTTGCCTTGGCAGGGCCAGATCAAATGATTCCTCGGGCCTCATACCGCCCGCAGGCCGATGTCCCCCACCCCTGGGCTACACCACGTCCTCCTGTCGCACTAGAGTGTATTCCTTTCCCCACAGCTCGCCTGCCTGGGTCCCCACACCCCCGCCAGTCTCTCTCCCTCTTTCTAGTCCTTCCACACAGGCCCCCGAGGGAAGTCCCCGCACCCAGCCCTGGTCTGTCCTCCTCTGTCCCACCCTTTTCTTCTTCTTTTTTTTTAAAAAATATATTTTATTGATTTCAGAGAGGAAGGGAGAGGGAGAGATAGAAACATCAATGATGAGAATCATTGATTGGCTGCCTCCTGCACGCCCCCTACTGGGGATCGAGCCCGCAACCCAGGCACGTGCCCTTGGCTGGAATCGAACCCGGGACCCTTCAGTCCTCAGGCCGACGCTCTATCCATTGAGCCAAACCAGCTAGGGCCATCCTTTTCTTTTTAAAAAATAATATTTTTATTGATTTCAGAGAGGAAGGGAGAGAGAGAATCATGGATTGGCTGCCTCCTACATGCCCCCTACTGGGGATCGAGCCAGCAACACAGGCATGTGCCCTAATCTGAATCTAACCATGACCTCCTGGTTCACAGGTCGGCGCTCAACCACTGAGCCACGCTGGCTGGGCTCTCCCACCCTTTTCTGCTGCTCCGTGTTATCAGGACAGAGGGCCAGTATCTCGGGCCTCCCAGCATCTCAGAGCAGCAGACCTGGCACCTGGGAGACCTCGGGAAATCTTTGCTGAGCCAGTGAGGGGAGGCCACCATCCCTTCTGCGACCTCAGTGACCTTCAAACCCCCTTCACCTCCCCCCCCACAGTGCTTGCCCAGCTCATCTTCCCTCCTGCCTCACCCTCCCACAGCACCTGCAACACCCCAGGGTCCTCTCCTAGCACCCACACTGATCCTGCCTTCTGCCTGCTCTAAGCTCTCCCACATCCCCCCCCCCTCCCCCGCTATCCTTAGAACAACACCCCAACCCCGGAGCCTGGAACTCCCGCTCCTTGGGCTCTCTGCACCCCCACCTTGCCCCTCAGCGTCCCCACATTAGGAGCACTGTCCCCATGCAGCACGCTGCTGCTTCACTCCTCCAGGGTTCTGGCCCAGAGCCTTCCTCCCGGGCAGACTCCTACTCACCCTGTTAGAGACCCTGGCGGGGCGGGACCTTCCCCAGGAAGTTTCCCTAAGTGCTGCCCACTCCTGGCAGCCGGTGGCTCCATTCTCTTTCGAGGTGCCCAACAGGGTCCCTGCACCAACCGCCCTGCCTGGATTGTGGTTTCTGACGGCCTCACGTTTTCACCCCCAGGGACCCTGCTTCTAGCACTCTGTCTAGCAGCGGCGCAGCGACAACGAGTGAATGGCTGAATGAATGAATGAATGAATGAATGAATGAATGAATGAATGAATGAATGAATGAATGAGTGAGTGAGTGAATGAATGAGTGAATGAGTGAGTGAGTGAGTGAGTGAGTGAATGAATGAGTGAGTGACACGGATCCCCAAGTCCCAGCGCCTCTCCCGCACATCAGACACGGTGCCTGTGCGTCAGGATGTGTGTCATTAACTGCTCTGCTCCCACGAGTGTGAGTTTCCACAGCCAGCGCAGGTGTTTGATGCCGACTTCCAGCATGTCTCTGCCTCTCATCTCCGAGTTCCTGCCTCCCCTTTGTACACCGTTTACGTTGCTCTCCCGCCGAGTGCCATTCACTCCTCGGCTTCCCACGGCCCTCAGAAGAAAATCTAAACTCCCGTGGCCTGACCTACGAGTCCCTGGGAAGTCTGGCCCTGCCGATGCCTCCCTCCAGCTGCATCTTGTTCCATCTGCTCACAGGCTAGCCTTCCAAGGAAGCACCTGCTGCCCCAGGGCCTTTGCACATGCTGTTCTCTGGATGAAACACTCCCCCCAACCCCCACCCCCAGCGCCACCTGGCTGCTTGTCATCTTCTCCGTGTGTGCAACAATATCCTCTCCTTTTAAACTGGCTTCAGCCCCCCTGATGGAGCCTACTGTAGCATTTTGGACTTTTCCTAGGTCCTCATTGTAATTTGCTGTTTGTGGACACCGTTGCTCGATCAACGCACAAGTTGTTAACCCTATGAGGACGGAGGGGACCCTGTCCGTTTTCATCCCTTCTGTAGGCTCAGCACGATGCCTAGCGCTTCAGTGCACGAATAAACTGCTGGCAATGACTGAACAAGTCGCTTTCCAGGCCTGTTTATATCCTTCAGAGCGCCGCCCTGGTACACAGTAGGTGCTTAATGAACCCTTGCAGGATCATGCACGGCAAAGTCCACGTCCAGGCCTCGTCCCTCCGCCTTCCCGCGTCCCTTCTCTTTCCCTGTCTCCTTATAGAGAGCATATATATATATAGTTTGTCGGTAGAACTATATATTTGTGTGTTATGGGCCCCTCTCCAGGAGTTGGGCTGGGCTGGGAGTCCCTCCCTCCCCCCGCCCCCACATGCACACAGCAAAAACATGAAAAAGAAAAACATCTCAAAACTGCAAAAAACACCACGGCCCTCCCTCCCCCACCCAATCCCACAACAAAAATAAAACACGACGCTCCCTCGCGCGGCCCCTTCCCTTCCTTCCCTTCCCGTCCCCCTCCCTTAGGGTCCCTGATCCGAGGGTGGGGGGGGCGATCCCCCACACCTGGGGGGAGGGGGCGCGGGGGGAAGGCCCAGCAGTCTCCAGCGCGCTCCCCGGGGAAGGAGGGGGCGCCCCGACCTCCCCAGCAGCCTCGTTGCACGCGCGCCCGCGCACGCGCCCGGCGCCCCCCCGCGCGCCCCTACACCGGCGTGGTTTTCCTGTTGAGCGTGTTGGTGTTGGAGGCGGCGGCCTCCTTGGCCAGGGTCCCGGGGGCGGGCGCCGAGGGCGCGGGCGGGGCGGGCGCGGGCGCGGCGGGCGGCCCGGTGACCGTGACCGTGACGCCGCCGCCCGCCTCCTTGGGGAAGGCGTTGTGCAGCGTGAGGAAGCCCGACGTCCCCCCGCGGTCCCGCTCGGCGCCCGCCCCGCCGCCGCCGCCGCCGCCCGCGCCGCCGCCCGCGCCCCCGGCCGCGCCGCCGAACGCGCCTCCGCCGCCGGCGCCCGCCAGCCCCGCGGCCACGCTGCCCTTGGACGGGTCGCGGCTGAGCGTGTACATGGAGATGTCCGTGGAGGGGAAGCCGGGGGCCCCGGCGCCGCCCGGAGACACGTCCCGCGACGGCGACGGCTCGCTGGAGCGGGAGCTAGAGCGGGAGCGGCGGCGGTAGCGGAAGCGGTAACTGGGCAGACGGAGGATGGCCGAGGGGCCGCTCCCGCCACTGCCGCCCGCGCCCCCGCCGGCCTTGAGCAGGTCCGAGCGGGACTGGCAGTGCGCCTCGCGGCTGCGCTCGATGTAGATGTTGACGGCCAGCACGCCGATCACCTCGGCCAGGATGAAGGACAGGCCGCCGAAGTAGAAGGACCAGCCGTACGAGTAGTGGTTCTTCTTCTCGTCGTCCCGCTTCGGGCCCGGCTCGCCCGCGTTGGCCGAGATGTACACGATGACCCCGATGATGTTGCTCAGGCCTGGGCGGGGGACGGTCAGACGGGAGCCTGGAGGCCACCCCGGCCCCACCCTAGGTCCCGCCCCGCCCCTAGGTCCCGCCCCGCAGGCCTAAACTCCTCCCCAGCTGGTTAGGCCCCGCCCCCAGGTAGCCTAGGACTCGCCCCAATTGGTCCAGACCTCAACGCGGCTGGTCTAACCCCACCCCCTAGATAACCTAAGTCCCACCCCCAGAGAGCCAGGCCCCGCCCCGGCTGGTCTAAACCCCACCCCTTAGATAGCCTAAGTCCCACCCCCAGAGAGCCAGGCCCCGCCCCGGCTGGTCTAAACCCCACCCCCAGGTGGTTTAAGACCACGCCCTTAATGGTTCAGATCCCGCCCCGAATGGTTCAACTTCCATCCTAAACTCCGCCCCAGCTGGTCCCGGTTCCCTCCCTAAGATGGCCTAGGCCCCTCCTCCCGGTAGCCTAGGCCACGCCTCCCATGGTCCCCCCCCCCCCCCCCCCCGGGTGGTCCAGGCCCTCCTCCGATGGGTCTATCTCCATCACTTCATACACCTGGCTTTCCCCTAAACCCCGCCCTCTGCTGCTTTAAACTCTTCATGAGATAATCCCGCTGACTCTAGGCCCTGAACTTGGCTGATCTAAAAACTCTTCCTCGCCCTAACCGGTTTGGCTCAGTGGATAGAGCGCCGGGTCTGTGGACTGAAGGGTCCCAGGTTCGATTCCAGTCAAGGGCATGTGCCTTGGTTGCAGGCACATCCCCAGTGGGAGGTGTGCAGGAGGCAGCTGATCGATGTGTCTCTCTCATCCATGTTTCTAACTCTCTATCCCTCACCCCTCCTCTCTGTAAAAAATCAATAAAATATATTTTAAATATGTAAGTAAATAAAAATAAAAACTCTTCCTTTCAGGATTACCATCCCAGTCTGGGCATCTCTTCTAGGCCCGCCCCTTGCTGGTCTAAAAGTCCTCCTTCTTAGAGCAGGTCCTTTTTCTACTCCAGCCTCGGGATTGCCCGACACTGCGCCTCGTGGGTCTAGGCTGGGCTCCTCCCCAGTCCCAGGTCAAGCAAGCCCCGGCCCCGCCATCTCTATCCACCCCCGAAGCACCTGCTGTTCTTTATGCTAAATCCTCCCCATTCTCTGGGTGCCACCAGTTCAAAAAAGCTTTCCAGCACCTCGCAGCACTACTCATTTCGGGTAGAAAGGGAGTCTTGCCCTAGCCGCTTTGGCTCAGTGGGTAGAGCGTCGGCCTGCGGACTGAAGGGTCCCAGGTTTGATTCCTGTCAAGGGCACGTGCCCGGTTGCGGGCTCCATCCCCAGTAAGGGCCGTGCAGGAGGCAGCCGATCCATGATTCTCTCTCATCATGGATGTTTCTCTATCTCTCTCTCCCTCTCCCTTCCTCTCTGAAATCAATAAAAATATTTTTTTATAAAACCATACTAAGTGAGCCCTGGCTGGTTTTCTCAGTGTTTAGAGCATCGACCTGTGAACCAGGAGGTTACGGTTGGATTCCTGGTCAGGGCACATGCCTGGGTTACGGGCTTGGTCCCCAGTGGGGGCACATGCAGGAGGCAGCCGATCCATGATTCTCTCATCATTGATGTTTCTCTCTCTCTCCCCCTCTCCCTTCCTCTCTGAAATCAATTAAAATATAATATTAATTACTCCTTAATGCGATGCCTCACTCCGAGCTGCCTGGAGGGTTTCCCAGGACCAGCCCCTTTCTGGGTCCGCTGGAGTCCACAGGCTCTTACCCTTACAGCAGGCTCCTCCCCATCTACAGCCAAATCACTTTCTCCCTCTGCGGCTTGACCTGCCACCGCCCAGCCCTGCCCCCCTATCCACAAGACCCCAGTGATGTCTCGCGGCCCCAGCGCCTCCCTTCCGTGACCTGAACCCCCCGGGCTTCGGGAACCTAAGCTCCCCGCACCCCTATTTCGCGCCAGACACCACGAAGGCGACACCCACCTTGGCGACACCCAGCGGGTGGCGATGGAGTTTGGAGAGAGCCTAGAAGAGGCAGGCTCCGGGCCCCAGGGGGCGCTCGGGGGCAGGGTGCACACACACACACACACACACACACACACACACACACACACACGGCGACGTGGGTGGGCCGCCCCCTCTCCCTGCCCCTCACCTGCTGCCACGAACAGGATTCCTGCCCCCAGAACGATGTTCCTCTTGGACCTGTAGACGCGGGAGGCCGCCACGCACACGCCCCCCAGCAGCAGCAGGATGGCGCTGAGGATGGGGAAGATGCTGGAGGCCCGCACCACGCCTGCGAGGGAGAAAGGGGAGGAGGGGGAGAGGGAGGAGGGAGTGAGGGCCCGGGGGGTGGGATGCGGCCGTCTGCGGGCACCCTTCCCACCTACCCCCTCCCCCCCCCCCCTACACACACCCACCCCGCGCGCTGCGCCTCCTGCTGCCCGTGTTTGACTCCACCTGTCCCCTCCCTGGTTCTCCAGGTTTCCCTCTACCCGTGTTCTGGTTATTTCATTCATTCTCCCTTTTTTTTTTTTTTTTAATATTTCTCTACTTCTCGGTCTGATTTCCTCTTTTTCTTCTTTCCTCGTCCTATTTCTCTCTCGCCTGGCCTTTTTTTTAATTCTCGTTCACTCTCCATCTCTTTCTCTGAACTTCTCTCGTTCTCTGTGGGCCCCTCCCTGTGTCCTTGCCCTTCTCGCACGCCCCTTCCCTTTCCGCGTGTTTCTTTCCTTTCTCCAGATCCCTCCTCTACCAACCCTGTTCCTATCGCTCTGCCTCCTCTCCCTGCTGCCTGCTCCATCTCTCTGGGTTTCTCTTTTCTTTCTCTCTTCCTTCCTCTCTCCCTCTCCCTTCCTTCCTCCCCCGCCCCCTACACCGGGCTTCATTCATTCTCTCTCTCTCTCTCTCTCTCTCTCTCTCTCTCTCTCTCTCTCTCTCTCTCTCTCTCTCCCCCACTCCTTTCTGTCTGGCTTCACTCATAGCTCTGGGGTTCCCTTCTCTCCCTCTCCCTTTGTGAAGTCTCTCTCTCCTCTCTCTGCACCCCTTTCCCCCCACCCCAAACCCTAGGCAAACAAATTTTACGATTTCTGAGCGCTAAGCCACAGCCAATCACAATTCAGGATTTGCCGCGTTCTCAGGAGCAGCAGCCAATCCCAGCCCAGAGAGCCACAACGCGGCGGCCAATCACCTCCCGGAATCTCTTCTCAGCCCGCCCCCAGGTCCCGCCTCCCCCCTCCCTTCTCCCACCGCCCCGCTGTCCCCCAAATCTGTCCCGGACCCCAACGTACGGAGCAGATACTCCGCGCTGTCATGGTCGTAGTCAGTGTCCTCCGGGAAATGGTTGATCTTCACGCAGACACCCCTTTTCAGCCCTAGAGGGGGACAGAGGTGGTGATGCGGGGGGACTTAAGAGTTGGGGGACTCCCCTGTGAGAGAAGACTCGCCGCTTCCCCCCCCCCCCCCTCTCTCTCTCTCCTCCTGGTTCCTGAACCTTTCCCCGGCCTCTGGGACAAGCTGTCAATCTCTTTGGCCGCATTATCCACACCAGTATTTTTATTTAATAAAGAAAAACAACAACATCCAAAACTCACTGAAAAGCCACAGGACTCCCGCCCCCCCACACACACACACATACACACCCCAGCCCTGAATCCTGGGCTGGGACCCCAGTCCCCCCGGCCTTCCGTTTCCCTCTAACAGTGGTTCTCAACCTTCCTAATGCCGCGACCCTTTCATACAGTTCCTCATGCTGTGGTGACCCCCAATTTCATTGTTACAAATTGAACATAATTAGAGCGTAGTGATTCATCACAAAAACAATATGGAATTATAGATGTGTTTTCCGATGGTCTTAGGCGACCCCTGTGAAGGGGTCGCGACCCACAGGTTGAGAACCGCTGCAAGGCGCTGATTTCAGCAATGTCAAGGCGCCCTTCTAACGCTGAACTTGAGGCGTCTGCAAGAGCGTGGGAAAACGAAGGAGGCTGCGGAGGGCAAAGGAGACTACATTTCCCATAAGGCCCTAGGAAGTCCCGAGTCCACTTCTGGGGAGAGTAGCCCCGGTGATTCATGAGAGTTGTAGTCTCTTCAATCCTGCGCTTACGGAGAGGGATTTGCCAGCCTCTGACCTGGAATCTCAGAGGCCCGTGAAGGGGTTATGTCTCTAGGGGTCACTCAGCCTCACCCGCTTCGTCCACCCCAGAATGCTATCCTCAGCTCCTGGACCTCACACCCTTCAGGAACCTAACACCCCATATTTCAGAACAGTTCCTGTTCTAACACATAGTTGGAGACTGGTGTATAAATTAGCATAAATATAAATACATTTTGTTTCCTTGATGCCCCAGGCTCCTTCCGAACTCCAGGCTGTGGAACAGTCCGTCCACTCACTCACATCTTCACTGATGAAAACTTACCCTGCAAGTGGGCAGCTCACGGGCGCCTCCTTGAGGAAGCGTGTCGTTGGGCTCGCACATGCGCACATGCAGTCACTCCTCTCACTAAAGTTGGGTCCAGTTTCCCCCTCTGGGGTGCAGCGGCCCCCTGTGCTACCCCCTTTCTGGCAAGCATTGGGATGATTTATGAATTTCTTCATAAATTCCTGTGTGTGTCTCTATCATTGCCTGGTACAAGGGAGGCCTCAAGAATGGGCATCGAATGAATGAATGAATGAATGAATGAATGAATGAATGAATGAATGAATGAATGAATGAAAGCAGAAGGCGAGATTCGAGGCAGAAGATGAAAGGAAGGAATGGGGATAAAGACAAGGGCTGGGAGGGAGGGATATAAGGCAGTGAGTAATTCCGCTAAGAGCTAACATTGTTAAGTGGTGGATGGACTCATCGGAGCTCCCCGGAGTCCCATGAAATAGATAATGTGATTGGTATCGTGCAGTGGCCAGTCATTGGGAATCAGAGTCCCACTGCTTGAGGATGAAGCCCGACTCTGTCATGTTCTTAGTCGGTGACCTTGTTGGCATTACTTAGGTCAATTTGCTTCAGCTCCTTTGCCGATAAAAAGGGAGGAATGAGACCTACCTCACAGGGTGGCTGTGAGGATTTAATCCAGGTAGACATTTAGCACTTTGCCTGAGTCACCATGACGTGCTCAGTCATGAGCAGTCGGCGTACCCATTGTCCAGATGAGGAAACAGAGGCACAGAAAGGGTTCATCAACTCACAGCTGATGGGTGGTGGAAGCAGACACAAACCCACAGCAGTGTGCCTTACTGGGATGTAAGCATATGGCCTGTTCACCACTCTATCCCCAGCACCTACCTCGCACCTAGTAAGTGCCTGGTAAATATTTTCATGAAAGAGTGATTGAATGGGCCAACGAGCACATGAAAAGGTACTTAACATCACCAATCATTAGGAAAATTCGGATCAAAACCACAACGAGATACCACCTCCTACCCATTAGAACAGCTACTGGGGAACACACACACACACACACACACACACACACACACACACACACAATAACAAGAGAGTTGGCAAGGATGTGGAGAAACTGGGACCCCTGTTGGTGGGAATGTAAAATGGTAGAGTTGCTAAGGAAAATAGTACCGAGTTTCCTCAAAAAATCAAAGACACAATTACTATGTGATCTAACAACTCTCCTTTGGGGGTATATACTCAAAATAATTGAAAGCTGGGTCCCTAAGAAATGGCACGCCCATTTTCCTAACAGCATTATTCACAAGCCGAAAGCAACCTGAGTGTCCAGCAATGGATAAATGGATAAAATGTGGTATATACATTATCACGGAATGTATTATTCCAGTATGCATTCAATGGAATATTATTCAGCTGTAAAAAGGAAGGGGCTTCTGACCTATGCTCTAGCAAGGATGAACCCTGAGGATATTATGCCAAGTAAAATATGCCAAGCACAGAAAGACAAATGCTGCGAGATTCCACTTCTATGACGTATCTAGAGGAGACACATTCAGAGACGGTGGCTGGGGGAGCGGAAGTGGGGAGTTACTGTTTAACGGGGACAGAGTTCCAGTTTTACAAGATGGTAAGAGTTCTGTGGATGGATGGTGGTGATGGCTGCACAACAACGTGAATGCACTTACCACTAAACTGTGTACTCAAAAATGGTTAAAATGGCCCTGCTGGTGTGCTCAGTGGTTAGAGCGTCAGCCCATGCACGAAAGGGTCATGGGTTCAATTCCCGGTCAAGGACATGTACCTGGGTTGCAGGTTCGATTCCCAGCCCTGGTTGGGATGCATGGAGGCAACCAATCAATGTGCCTCACATCAATGTTTCTCTCTCTCTCTCTCTCCCCTCCTTTCCACTTTCTAAAAAAAAAAAAAAAAAAATCAAAGGAAAAGATACCCTCAGGTGAGGATTAACAACAACCAAAAAATGGTTTAAATGATCAGTTGTATGTTCTGTGTATTTTACAATTTTTTAAAAAATGATTGACTAGACCAGCGGTTCTCAACCCCTTTGGCGGTCGAACGACCCTTTCACAGGGGTCGCCTAAGACCATCCTGCATATCAGATATTTACATGATGATTCATAACAGTAGCAACATTACAGTTATGAAGTAGCAATGAAAATAATTTTTTTAAGAATATATTTTATTGATTTTTTACAGAGAGGAAGGGAGAGGGATAGAGAGTCAGAAACATCGATGAGAGAGAAACATCCATCAGCTGCTTCCTGCACACCCCCTACTGGGGATGTGCCCGCAACCAAGGTACATGCCTTTGACCGGAATCGAACCTGGGACCCTTAAGTCCACAGGCCAATGCTCCATCCACTGAGCCAAACCAGCCAGGGCAGCAATAAAAATAATTGTATGGTTGGGTCACAACATGAGGAACTGTATTTAAAGGGCCAGAAGGTTGAGAACCTCTGGACTAGACGAATGAATACACACTCTCAAGGGCAGACGTTAACCCGTCCGCCCGTCCGTGAGGTGTGGTAGGTAAGGTTGGGGGTTCGAGTCCCCCCCTTTCCTGATTGGCGTCACTGTGCTTCTCTCACAGCATGAACGGCCATGCAGTGAGGCTGAGCGCGGAGAGCCCGGGGTGGGGACTCTCAGCAGGACAGAGGTGACAGCGTCAGGACGGCTGCCCTTCCCGGGGGGCTAACCTCACGCCAGGCCCTGCTCCCGGCCGCGGACAGGAAGTACCGCACTCTGTGCTCATGACGAACCCCAGGGTGCGAGGCAATAACAGTCCCCCTGCTCTACAGACGGGGAAACTGAGGCACGGGGCCGAGGTCCCGCCTGGATGGTAAGTCACAGGGGGCAGATGCGGGGGCAGCTGGGCCTCAGAGGCCGGCTTATCGGGGGCAGCGGAGCCCAGGCTCAGAACTTACATGCAGGGACGCCACTTCCCAGCTGTGTGGCTTAGGGACTTGAACACCAGAGCCTCCGTTTCCTCATTTCAAAAGTGAGGATGTGGCCCTGGCTGGTGTGGCTCAGTGGATAGAGCATCAGCCTGCAGACTGAAGGGTCCTGCGTTCGATTTCAGTCAAGGGCACATGGCTGGGTTGCAGGCTTGATCCCCAGTCGGGGGCGTGCAGGAGGCAGCCAATCAATGATTCTTTCTCATCATTGATGGTTCTCTCTCTCTCTCCCTCTCCTTTCCTCTCTGAAATCAATAAAGAAATATATTTTTTTAAAAAAACATATTTGTAAAACAAAAACAAAACAAAAGTGAGGACAATGGTACGGCTTCCTAGGGGTTGGTAAGAACGCAATGGAACACACAGTCAAGCGCAGGACACGGGGGGGCGGGGGGTTACTGGACTATAAGGGTGTTAAGGACCCCATGGGGCTGGGAGCTTTTCCTGTGCAGCGATGGTGGGACGTGGCCCTGAGTCTCCCCCAGGACCTGCCCAGGCCGGGTGAAGGGGGAACAGGGAGGTGAGGAGGCTGGACAAGTGGGTTCCACAGGCCCTGCCCCTGGCGTGTGGGGTGGCCCTGTGGCTGATCACCCCCCCTTTCTGGCCACCGCTTCCTGCCTGACAAGCACAAGCATAGCGACTCCTCCCCCTGGCGCCGGGGGAGGGCGCCCCGAGATAAAAGGGGCTGTGCACAGTGGCCAGGATGAACGGTCTGAGGTCCAGGTCATTATGCCCTAACAGGGGACCCGAGACTGTAGCTGCGACTCCCGGGAGGGGCTGCACCCCCACGGATGCCACGGCCACGGTGGCTCCCGGGCGCTCGGACCGTGGCGACTGGGATGAGCTGCGAGGGCAAAACACTCACTGGTTTGAGAACTCACGCGAAAAAGAAATGCATAATATTTCATTAATGTTTTATATTGGTTACATGTGCAAGTGGTATTTTGGCTCTGATTCCAGACCTAATGTTCAAAATGCGGAAGAGCGCCGGCCTGATAT